AGTTTTTTTTGTAATCTCGTGACAAATAATTATTTTTCCTTGGTGGCCACGCAATTTTTTTATTTTTCATTTCATCCTTTTATCAAATTTATCTTTATTTTTTTCAGAAGGAAGATCCATTTAAGAGTCTTCGACGGGATCTCGGCTCTCATTCATTCGCTGAAGACCTCAATCTTGAGGATTTTATCGCACTCAATCTTTCTTCTAACTCGCATACTCCTTCTTCCGTGATACGTGATACACTTAAAGTGAAAATAGATGCTGGCGCTGGCGAAAATGGCTTTGAATGGCTTAATGATTTGATCTCTTGTTCCGGTCGTCCTCAAATACCAAGTTAGTTTTACTTTTTTCGGAAAAGCTTGCTTTGAACATTCCTATTTTAGTATAATCTTGCACCAACGTTTTGAATTTTATTCTTATTATGTAGTTTTCAAAATTATCACTAGTTCTTCAATTCTTTCAAAACCTATTTTCTATTAATATGCGTTACATGGTCGATTGTAATTGCAAAATATTAGTTTACCTCATTCATAATCTCACTATATATGTGATTTGGGAGGCCTGGCCTTTCTTGACATTTATGGCTGCTCTGTTCCCAATAAGTGTTCGTAGCAGTATGATATGGTGGTAATATTAATAAATACTGGGTTTTTATGAATCCCCTAGTGATTTATTGTGGCATAACTTTCCATTTAAAAGGAAAAATTTATTGGAAGGACTTCAGAAAATGGTCTCACTGCAAACCGAATAATGATTGCCCGGAGTGAGGACTGTTGGATTGTACGAGGAAGTCCTTGGCTCATCGTCCCGCGACACCGATGAGCCTATGCTAACCTTTCTCCTCTGCTGTGACAGACATAACCGGAGCAGGAAGTTATACTTTACGAAATAGCGCAAGCCATATAACAGAATCATGTTAAAACGTTGCTGACTGCAACCCTGGTTTCTTTTTCATAACCTTTCTTTGCCATTTTAATCAGACATTCCATTATTTGCTTGGCTATCTTAAACTTACTCTACATATGTGAAAATGAGTGGAGTTAATTCATGAACCGAAAGTAAATTCAATGGCAGCTGTTTTCTTATTCAAATAAACTGAGTTTTATTGATAGTATGAAGACCAATATAGTGGCCTTTTGTATGGTCGCAGTCTCATTTCTTTGTCTAGATGTTGTTTGACATTATTTTTACAACTTGGTCATATTGGTAGGAAAACCTAGATGAGCGCACCTAGTCCGGAGTCCATAGTATGCATGATAATTTCCAGAGTCGGACTGTGGACGTGGTACATTCCCAGACGTTTCGCCGGCATCGTCAGTAAGCATTGTCACGCTTAGCATCACACTACAACTTGTTAAAGAGACAAGTGAAGCCTATCCTTTGACTAATTGTCTCCTGAAGAATCGTGGTATCTCTCTTTCTCCCCTGGGTAATCACCAACCTTATATCCTCGTATCATGCCTTCAATATCACACTTTTTAACTTGCTTATTTAAATGTGGCATGGTGTTTCTTTTCGAGCGGCTTTTATGAGAACTCTCCACACCCCACGCCAGCTTTCTCATCCCCCTTTTCACCCTTGTGCTGGAAATGTTGATCAGAGCCTGCCATATTGTTACGCAGCCCTCTTTCCATAGGTATTATCAGTCTCCCTCTTGCCCCTCTTGCGCATGGAAACCATCCATAGCTAATTAATTTAAGGAGAGGGAAAGCTGATGCCATAAAATGCTAAGTCTTTCCCAAACCTCACTTGAAATATCTACTGAAGAGGTCTAATCAAAGGGCTCGAACCTTTCACTTCCAAATAATAAGGACTACGAAGATAAAATCCTCCTAGAATTGATAAATTTAACATATAGCTTCACAGAAGATACTAGTTATGATATTGGATTACAATTTGTATTTAATTTATGGTCAAGTGGGAGTAGTATAGTTACTATTAATATAACGCACCTCGAGGCAAATGGTCAATTCGTATTCAGGACAGACAAAGGAGCAATAATAATTATGGATAGGACTGGCTGTGTGGAGGAAATGCTAAAGACATTAGACAATGGAGCGACACTACACTGGTACCATTCTCGCTACTGGTGCAGGTGACCCAGGTGGGGTCGAAACTTCAATTCATCATGGATTTCAATATCCTTTGTAAGGCAAGTCAAATTAAAGTTACTGTGAAAATGGACCCTACTCACTCGTATCATTGGATAAAAATTCAACTGTCACCTTCTTTACTTGCGACTTTGGGTGACTGGAGGTCTAATTTAAATTTTTATTTTTAAGCTGGGCAAATTTGTAGATGCAGTTGAAACCTTGGAGCAAAATGGAGCTATATTCCCATGCACTCTCACCGAATAGCAGAAGTCAATAATAGTCTTAACTAATTTTTAACGGAAGCCATGATCTGATTAGTGACCATTTGGTTTCCAAAGTAAATCCATTCCCTAAATAAAATTTTTCATTGACCAGTGTAGGTTGTCCGGAGATGTACATATCGCAACAATTCATTATGACAAGCATAGCTGTGAAATACAAATTTCAAATAAAAAATTGTGTTGAATATATTCGTGACTATGTCTCACCAGGAGGCAGTTGCGGATTCCTCTTTGCCAACTTCAATGGAACATTCTGGTTAAAGTTGTCCCCAAATCAATCTCCTTAGATTTCGCTGGAGATGTGCTGAGCCCATTCATTTAATCTTCAAGTCTTCTAATCTAAGGCAAATGACGAACAGGAGATAACACATAAGTTGGGATAATGCAGTATAAGATACAATGATTTATTAAATATCTATACGGCTCTTTGCTGTTATCACCTGGAATTGGACTTGCTTTGCCTGCTATGGATAGAAATGGTTGCAAAATAAGGCTTGCTTCATTGAGCGTCATTATTCATCTAGCTCTTTTTATATCTAACTATTGCGCTAGTTGCAAGTTTATTGCACCTAGTCATTTGTATAGATTTTAAGAATAATATATAATTACCTTTAGCATATAAAATCCCTTCATTTTATTACTTTCTGTTTTTGCAGACAATCTTACTTCTGTTCTTCGAGTTTCTGGCAGTAGTAGTAGCTCTGTTGCTGTAACTCCTGTCCGTCGTGTTAAGGAGCCCCCCTATGCACCCCATAGCGGGTCAGCCGGCCCTCTATCCTCAATTCTCATTCCAGCTACTACACCAAGGCTTCTCCGTCTGCCGTCAAAACGCAAAACTGCCCATTCTCAGCTAGTAAGTAATACACCACTTACATTCTACGATAAATTTGTGTTTAATTTAGATAATGTTTTCACTACGTGATTCGAATATGTTATTAACAAAAAGCATATCAACTGCTAATGTCCATAACAACTTCCTGAAAAACAGGTCATACCTTAAGCAGGGGGCAAAAACTTATTTATATATACCAAACATGCTCCGTAGATTCTAATCTAAGATAATGAATATTGGAATTACTTTAAGCATTTAATTGAGTTAAATACCAAATGCCTTCTGAACGTTAAGAGATCATAAGTTCTCAACTTTAATAAATAATTGAATTAGATGGCTTCTCTTTATCTTTATATATACCTTACATACTACAGCCTTTATAAAAAGCCAGTCATTTTTTGTCGCTTTGTTCGGTCTCGACCATGTTGTTTCTCAAGACATTTCATCGTCTGTACTGGCAGCTCACATCTCATTTGGCAGTGTTATCACCCTTTTAAAGGGGGTCAGTTGTCAGTACCATTTATAGCATCGGCCTACGACTAAAGCTAGGCTGGCAGTGAAATTGGTTAGCTTCGTGTTTCGTTTCATCTATTTTCATACTTGGAGGCCTTTTAGCTTAGCTTTTTAATATGTGGTGGTGCTAAAATTACGTCTACATAACTGACGCGATACATATCTCACTTTTATGATTGAATGCTGAGCATGGCTTCTTTATCAAGTTTCACTAAGCTGAGTGGTTACAGAAACCTCGTATTCTTTTTTACTCCTTGCCCAGATTCATTTATTTGGATCTAATATTTTTGTAGCTAATTTCTGTTTTATGTTCTAGTTCACCTCGTACAGTTGGTTGTGAACTTCCGAATAAGACATTTTTATGCCTGTAGTAAATGAAACTAAGTCTCCTATCACACCAACTTGTAATAGTATACCGATGATGCGTATTCTAGTCGCTAGCGAAATTCGTCCACTGTTATTCTTGGCTCCTTTAAAATAGCTGATATGCCTACTTAAAAAACTCGTTATGTTGATCTGTTAATAATAATCAATAATAAATAAAACTAAGAAATCTGATTTTTAGATATATAAGCATTGCTTCCTTAGTAAAAAAATTTTGTTGGAAAAACTACAGATAGATTATTCTTAAAAGAGTATCTGTGTCTGGCTTTTACGATTTTTTTGACCTCTGATATTACTCTGGCTAAACTAATCAATTCCCAGGTTTTATCTTGCCTCACTGTTTGTTCCACTATGATAATAGAAAATTCTATTATTATGGATTATTATAGTGCGATAGTAGATTATAAGGAAGTTCCAAAGATCTTCATGCCATTTGGCCTCAAAATTTATATTAAAAGTTGGCTAGAAGGAATCCCTAAGTTGGTCTGATTGGTTCAAAGTAAGATTAATTTAAGGTATGAAGATCAAGATGGTGTGGTCTTTTGTGTGGACGCAGTCTCCTTTCGTTGTATAAAAGTTGTTTGACTTTGTTTTCGAAACTCCGTCATATTGGTAGGAAGACTTAGAGGAACGCATCTTGTCCACGTCCACGGTCCTACTCTGCAAATAATGATGCATACAATGGACTCTGGACAAGGTGCATTACTCTAAGTCTTCCTACCAATATGACCGAGTTGCGAAAACAAGGTCAAACAACTTCTAAGATTAATTTAGATTTTTCGCATAAAAATAGAATTTCGAGACTACCAGTAAATTAGTTATATGATATGTATTGACCCTATTTCGTTTAAGGTGATGAAACACTTGTAGTAGAATTTTATTACAATGATATGAGTAGAACTGACGTTTTCATCGAATTTGACATGACAACATCACATGCCTCATTATCATGTTCGACTTTCGCTGAGGATATTGATAAGACCTATGCCAGATCGAAACTACAGTCCACTCTGGATGAAAAAAACTTTTGGGAAACCAAGGCTATGTGAAATTCAACGAAAACGTCAGCTCTAGTAATATCATTGTGCGAAAATTCTACTACCAGCTCTTACCTTAACCGAAATAGGGTAAATACATCTCATAGATTGATTTAGACTTGTCGGTTTAATTGCAGTATACGTAGGCGTTTGTTCTGCCTTTCATTTAATTTTAAAAGGAAAATGGAAGGTACTTGTAATTTGGCGTTGAAAGCCGAATGAAGATAGCCTTGAAATTATCATTGTATTAGTGTGAATAATTCCTCGGCTAATCCGTCTTCTACTCCAGTGAATCCATGCCGAGCTTTCTTCTATCAGGTAACAGACATCGTCAGGATATTCATCAAGCAATGTCAGACTCATGATTTCAGTCAGCTGACATATTCTTCGGGGTCTCCGATCTGTGCTCCGAGGACTTATTTAA